CACAGGGCCAGCTGGTTCTTTATTCTATCACTCAGGGCCTCAATAAAAGCTGCCTTTAAGGCATCGTCGTTCCATGTCGTCATGGCTGCCAAAGTCCTGAACTCCAAAGATAGCTCTGCCACCGTTCTCCTTCCCTGTGATAGATGCAAAATCTTCTTTCTAATGTCAATTGTGGTCTCTGAGCTGCAGAAAGTCTGTTTAAAATCCTCCAAAAAATCAGCATAGGGACCAGACAAAAATTCAGCATTTCTGCTCTTTTCTTCTGCCCACCTAAGAGCCTTTCCCCTCAAAAGTCCAACAATAAACGAAATCCTAGAAGAGTCCGTCATAAAAGCATGTGGTGAACGTTCGAACCCCAGGCGGCACTGTTGTAAAAACCCATAGCAATCCTCGAACTCACCCGAGAACGTAGGACATGGCAGCGGTGGAGCTGAACGGAAGTGGGTGACCTCCGTAAGCCCGATCGTCTCCGGTCCGGGTGGACTCACTGTTCGTGACGAAGGTTCCGGGCTTGAAGCGGAAGTAGCGGCTGGGACAGATGCTGGGGACGGTGCTGGAGCAGGAGCTGGAAATTGCTTGTGAAGCTGTTGGACCATAGCCTCCAAATGCTGGTAACGCTGGTTGGCGATCGTCAGCTGCTCCATGAGCACCGGAAGAGTCTGCTCCTGCTGGGACATCCTGTTAGCCAGATCGGCGAGTGCTGATTCCGCTGGGTCAACGTTTTGGCCGGATGATTCTGTCATGACTCGCGGGAGGTGTTTAACCCAAGACATGCAGAATCAACATGACTTCAATAGGTGAGTAAAAAGAAAAGTTCTTTATTTTCTAAGCAGGAACAAAAAGTGCACTGGTAAGTCCAGTGAGGGTGTGCCGTTTGGCGTTAGTCCATATGGTAGTCCACGACGTGTGGGAAAGGAGGGTAGCCAAGGTGAGCGCAGGTGGAATTCAGCGGGCTGAGGCAGGTGAGGCAGCGGAGATAAACGGGAAGGCGTAGAAGAGGATGGGACGTGGTTCTGGAAATCTGAGATTCAGGCAGCGAGAGAAGTGTGAAGAGTTGAGTATCCTGAGCAGAGCAAACAGAGTTCAGGGGAAAATCCAAAATGCATGATCCAGAAAAACAGTCCAAGGTTCAGAGCCAATAATCCAATATCAAAGATTTAACAAGCAAACAAAGTCGAGAGGCTTGGGCTACCTAACAGGTGCAATCATCCGGCTTAGTGTGGTGTCTCCATCCTCCTTTTATACCTGACCTCCAGATTGGAGATTTGGCACACCTGCCGCACCCTCCACTCCTCACCTGTGGAAGATTGCCTCAGAGATTGTTAGTGAGGAGAGAGTGCTCACCTCGGCTCAGGAACATGACAGAAACATGGAGACAAAATGTAAATTATCACATTTTTGGCTGTTTCCCTTTTGGTTATTCCTTTTACACAGTATTTTGCAAATGCAAAGGACTTCACATCTTTTTTAGCCCATGTTTAACCCTGAAGTTTCCATTGATATTAACTAGGTCCTATCAAATAAAAATGTTTTAAGTCTAGTCCTACGCCGGGGACACACCGGCCGTGGAAGCGCCGCAAATTGCCGCGAAGCGCCACGAAAATGGGACCGCCTTCATTCGGCACCCTTGTTAAGCTATTCTATAGACCACATGGGCCGCCGAAGCACCGTGAATCGCCTCGCGCTGGGGCTCCAGCCCGCGACGTGGAGCGACCATTTCGGCGTTGGCTCTATTTTTTTCGCAAGCCGCGGGTGAATCGCGTCAATTCTGGCAGGAAGTCAAACCTAGACATAAGAGGCAGGCCGGTAAAGTTAACAAAATAAAGCATTTCAAAATAAAATTCAGCAATAGTCAAATGTGTTCGTAATCAGACAATGCAGAAAAACCACACGAACATGCACACACATTGAACTTGTGTGCGTGTGTGACCACGTGAAGGGATGTGTGGTTTTGGGTGTCTTTTCACTGGAACAAACAGGACAGAGAGGCAGAAAGTCTGAGGCAAGCAGTTAAGATGGATGACTTTAAATTAATTATGGAAGTTGAGAAACACAAGGAGCTGTCCGACCCCCGAAAAACATGGTTATTTACGTACCTATTTCGGAAGAAACTGCTAGGATACAGCTGAAGAATTGGAGTGGGTTCCAGGAGATTCAACTGGCAGAAACAACTCATACCATAGGTTCACACATGGTTCACACACACACACACACGCACGCACACACACACACACACACACACGCACACACACACACACACACACACACACACACACACACACACACACACACACACACACACACACACACACACACACACACACACACTCATACGTAGAGGAAAAGAGCTGAGAAAAGGCAGAGAGGAAATGGAGGACACCAAGTGTTTAAAAGCAAATCTACAGCTGAGCCGAGGCACGCCTCGACTGGGGCGCGTCTGATCTGAACTGAGGAGCGGTGAGCAGCGGCCGAATTTCGTTAGCGATTCGCTTCTCGGCGCGTCGCGGCGCTTCCGCGGCCGGTGTGTGCCCGGCGTTAAAAGTAGAAAAAGTGTCTGCCTCACGGACTATAGCTGGGAGCTGGTTCCAAAAGAGAGGAGCCTGATGGCTAAAAGATCTGCCTCCCATCCTATTTTTAGATATTCTGGGAACCACCAGTAAACCTGCAGTCTGAGAGCCAAGTGCTCTGTTAGGAACGTATGGAACAATCAGGTCACTGATGTATGATGGAGCTTTATATGTGAGAAGGAGGATCTTAAAATCTATTCCGAATTTAACAGGTAGCCAATGTAGGGAAGCTAACACAGGAGCGTTATGATCTCTTTTTAATTCTCATCAGAACTCCTGCTGCAGCATTTTGGACAAGCTGAAGACTTTTAACTACATTCTGTGGACTTCCTGAGAGTAATGAATTACAGTAAACCAGTCTTGATGTAATAAATGCATGAACTAGTTTTTCAGCATCACTCCTGGAAAGGATGCATCTAATCTTAGCAATATTCCAAAGGTGAAAAAAGGAAATCCTACAAACCAGTTTAACGTGAGAGTCCTGGTCGAAGACACTAAGGTTCCTTACTTTGTTCTCGGAGACTAATTTAATGCTGTTCAGGTCAGATGATTGGCTAAACAATTTCCTTTTCTGAAGTTCCGGTCCAAAAATGAGAACTTCAGTCTTGATTTAAAAGCAGAAAGTTTAGAGTCATCCAATTTTTTATGTAACAGGAAGAAACTTGCAAAAGATCCTGGAGCCATCCGCAATGAACCACTGGGGATTGAGAAGACACAGCACACGCATGCACACACACACACACACACACACACACACACACACACACACACACACACACACACACACACACACACACACACACACACACACATAAACACACACACACACACACACAGGTGACTTTATGACCATGTGTTTTACACGTTTAAAACACTTTATTATGTGCACATTTTGAGAAAAGGTTGCAGGAAACACATTTTCTTAGATTAACAATATTAATATAAAAACAGGCATTAAACAATAAATATGACTCACACACACGAGTCATGTTTTTATCTGAATTTTGTTACGATAAAAACATAATTCAATACAAAAAGACAATCTTGAACAATAGAGGAAACATCAGCTTGAGGAAAACTCCAGAGGAAAAACATGACAATGTGTTTATTTCCAGTCTACACTAAGCAGATCATTTCAGAACATTAATATAAAAATAATATTATTCTTATTTCTATGCTGAAGGATTGTTGCTTTATTGTTCAGTGTTATTGATCACTGCAGCTGTGAGAGAAGAGCTCCACAATCATCCAGCCTGTCCAGCTCCTCCACCACCTTCACCAGCCGCTCCACCTTCTCTGATGGCAGCACCACCTCTGCGTTGCTTCTGAACTTCTTGCTCAGGCTCTCGTTTGTCAGCGGGTTGTGCCAGTGGCCGTAGAAGGTGTCACAGCGGCCCTTCAGGATGTCTCCTCCAACTAGAGTCACCTGGACTTCTCCGTACATGCGGTTGAAATTGGCGGGGTTGTCCTCAGGATGCTCCATGCGAACACGGCTCAGCAGGAAATGCAGCTCTGGGCGGCTCATGGCGGGCGGGCTGAAGGACTGCACGGTCACCTCACCGTCCAGCAGAGCGCTGCAGGCGTTAAACTGGAAGGAGTGGCGTGCCTCGTGCTCTGACTCGGGAAAAGGCCTGTTGATGTATTTAGACTGGGGGACTCTGAGCAGGATGTCCTGGACCTGATGTGGGGACACCTGTCCTAGACCATGTCCCACAAGGAGCTCATGGACCGCAGCTGCAGCATCAGCTACCCAGTGCATCCCCAGATGGGCAGGAAAACGCTTAAAAGCCATGTCCTGCTCCTCTAACAGGAACACATGTCCACCATCATCAGGTGACTCTAAAGGCTGAGGAACATAATCTTCATAAAAGGCGCTGAAGCCCGCCACTCCTGCAACAGCATCCAAGACCAGAGGACTGGCCTCTAGGCCTCTGGAGGCCAGCAGAGCAGCTTCAAGCCCCAAACGAGAGGCGTTGCCGATGTGAAGGGGCTTGGACTGAGTGGCAGCATTAGCCATTGGAGCTCCAGCTAGAGAAGCTGCTATAGCCAAGGCATGACTGCACTGAGACGGATCCAGAGACAGGAGACGAGAACAGGCTGCTGCACTTCCCATAGGACCCACCACAGTGGGAGGATGGAACCTGTTCACACACACACACACACACACACACACACACACACACACACACACACACACACACACACACACACACGGTTCAGTTAGGACATTTATTCTGTTGTAACTGAAACAATCACTGATCTGCATCACCACTTAAGAATGTTTCTATTGGTTGAATCTTTAGAACAAGATGAATTGATTTAACTCTTTTCAGGTCACCTGAGTTTCTAAAACACCCACCAGATGAAGGGTTTGGTTTGTGCTAATTCTGTTAATGTTACACCAAGAGCCCCTGCTGTTCCTACAGTAAGCATCATTACACTGACATCACTAAAACGGCCTCTTACACCTCAGTGCTGAGATCAGCACAGTCAAACAAGGACGTCTTTAAACGAACGTGTTCATGAAGATCGTGCTAAAACCAGACTTTCTGGTTCAAGCTTGACTTGTGCTGTGAGGCACTGACCTCTTGGGAATGCTGCGTGCTTCATTAGAGAACCTCATCAGACGGCCCTGGATCTCAATGCCGACATTGAAGGCCAGTAAGAAGTCCAGACCGCTTGGTTTGCTGTTAGCCGGCATCATGTCACTGAGAGCAAACAAAGCTGGGAGAACAGCTCCTGAGGGATGAGTGGCTGGATGCCACGTGTCGTCAAAGTCCATGGAATGAGTCTGGAAGCAACCAGAGTTTGTGTCTCATCATACTGAAGCTGAAAGGAGTCAGAATAATAACTTTTTCTGTGAGGGTCATAACTAGATCAGAACCCAGCTATGAACACCTTGCCTATGCCGTGTCTGAATGATCCACTTCTTTATGTTTTTTTTTCTGAAGTGAACACTGACATGTTTTCTGTTCCTGGTGTGTTTTCAAAAGAAAAATGACTTTCATTCCTAAATCAGGCCATCGAGGGGGAAGAAAGTAGCTTCTTTGGAAATGTTTGATGGGAAACTTTAAGGCCAGCTCAGCTGATTTTATGTCTATATCCTAACCCTGTGGTCTTTGGGAGCCACGCTGCACCAACAGCTGAGAAAAGCTGTTTATACAAAATGTTTCCACTGATGTTTATGTGGTTATTTATATATGGTTGTTTTCCACTTATGTTTCTCACCGCTACTCCATTAACGAAAGCTGCCAGTGTTGGGGAGAGTCTGATCCCTCTGTGTCCGTACACAGAGCTGATGTGATCCGGAGCATACATGTGCTAAGAACAAACACAGAAACAACCCTACATTCACTCATCTGTTCTGGACATATTTGGGTTGGACCTGACTCAGACTTTCACTTTGCCTCACCTGGCAGAACTGAAGAGCCAGCTCAAACACATCTGTCCTGCTCCCTATCAGTCCGACCCCGATGCTGTCCAGCACCATCCTTTTGCTGCGATGGAGCACAACCGGAGACAAATGCTGAGGCTTTATTTCACTGATGAACTTCCCAAAACTGGCTGTGACCGTATCTTCTGGGGCTGGGTGCTTCTGGACTGCAGGAATGAAAAGATAAAAGTTGTTTAATAAAGGTTATTAATTAAGGTTATTATTATTATTTTTAATCAAAGTCAGCATATCTGTTTACCCTCCACTGCAGTGTTATGCAGTCTTCTGGCAGCCCGCACTGGTCTGATGGTTTTCTTTGGGACAAAACATAAATCAGAACAAAGCATTTCAGTTATTTTTCACATCTCAGGATGACTACAGGCTGATGAGTTCCTGCATTTACTTGTACACGTCTTTAATCTAATGTTTGTGTTTGAAAGAGCCAGTGTAGAGGTGTAACAGGTGTTTCCCAGCATGAGTGTTCTCCTCAACAATTAGCAGGAGTTATTTTATAGTTCCCTGCCTTGGCTGCACTACAAACCTCTACTTTTAGATATTTTTATGACTTCTTTATTTGAAAAGGACTTAAAACCATCACTTTTAGAGTCTGAAAACTGACTAAAAGCATAAATATGTCTGTAATCTTACCTGTAGCGTGGAGAACATGACTTCAAGTTTCTGTCACAATGATCTTGTTTCTTGTTTCTCTTGGATGCAGCAGCTGAGCAGTGAAGGATGCTGATGCTTTTGTGGCTGAAAATCCACCTGCCTTATATAGTCCAGGACTTACAATGACCGGAAACACCAAAGGAGCAGGAAGGGCAGGTTCCTTTTGCAATCCTGCATCACATCAGAATGAGGCTTTTCCACCCGGGTCATTATCTGTGGTGTAACGTTCACCATCATCAATAGCCTTGAGGGGGAGGAAGGAGAAAGAAGGAGGAAAAGCCACTTTTGTGTAAAGTGAAAGGCAGTGATGTCACCTGTAAGTATGCTGCTGTGTGACAGAGTGGGGAATTCTCAGTAACTCCTCCTTTACACAAACAGATCATATTTAAGGCAAACCTTCGTCCCTCCTTCAGCACAACTCAGCTTTCCATCAGTCTGAACAACTTCAACAGGTAAAACTTTGTTCTTTATTTTATTGCTGACAGGAGTAAATATTTTGTTTCTGCATGTCACCCATCAAAGATCCTTAAACCTAAAGCTAGATTATTATATACTCTGCTTTGTAGATTGAATCAGACCTAAATCTGCATAAAGGATGCTCCCTGACAAGAGTTTATTTATAAATATTAAAACTATTATTGCAATATCCTGTAGTTTTTCAACAATATGAAAATAACAGTAATGTTAGGGGTATTATTCTATTGATAAAATTGTTTTCATTTAGAATAAATTCTTCCTCTTCAGAGAGCCTGTTAGAGGAGCGCCGTAATAAATGACTTTTACATTAGTTACATGACAAGAGTGGCTCAGCCTACTTATGACAGGCAAGGACCGTTTTATATTATATTATATTATATTATATTATATTATATTATATTATATTATATTATATTATGCTCAGCCTTTCATTGGTTCCTTTAAAAATCCATATATTAATGTTGTTGTTGACGATTACCATTTAAGACTTTCATCATATGTTTGGATTGTCTACAGAAACACCATGACAGCAGACGGGTTTCCTGCCAGTTTCTATGGAGAACCAGGAGTATTAGGAATGTTAACACTCCAGGCAGCCTATGGATTCACAGCTGGAAGCGTTGCTTTACTGGTCAATAATGCCTTCCTCATGCTGATTGGTAAGGTCTAGTATCTGCTTTCAGCGCTGGAATTCACAGTTTTTATTGATTCATAATTTTGTACTTTTGTTTCTTCTATTAGCTGCTTATAGGAACGTGGTTCTGTTGTTTCTAACAACAATCATGGAGGTTGTTCTTGTCTGCTTCCTTCTCTCCACCCTGCACAGACTTCCATACCAACTTGAAAGTGAGTTAAAACCGCCTGTTATAAACTTTATGTATTTACGATACTGACTCTCATCAGAACAAATAAAGTCTAACAACCAGAAACGATGTATTGCAGTTGCCATGCTTGCATTGGTATCCATCATTTGCTTTTATGGCACCTTGGCTTCACTGATGAACTGCATCTTCTCACAAAGAGTGATCCCAATGGCTCCTCCCATAATAAAGGTAATGACTGAAGTTTAGATTGACCTACCTTTAAGAATCAGCGTGAATAATTAATAAAAATGTGTGTGTTTTGTTTTAGGAAAAAGTGAAACAGGAAGCTTGTGACGAGCTGTCCTGTCCGGTGGCTAGCTCGCGTCTCACCAGTGGTCTGTTGAAGATAGCTCGACTTCTCGAGGACGGGGGTGTGTGTGGTATTCCCACAGATACTGTGTACGCTCTGGCTGCTTCCTGCAAGAATCCTCAGGCGATAGAAAAAATCTACAACATTAAAGTAAGAAGATAGAGGAGGCTTGTTTAACAGCAATATACATTTTCATGAAGTCACCATCTTGTTGAATTGGACCTTTTGCAGGACAGACCTGCAGAGAAGCCTATATGCATTTGCATCTCCAGTGTGGAACAGCTGGTTGCAGCCAGGCCTCCTTTCAGCCCTCTGCTGTGGGAGTTCATGAGGAATGTGTATCCTGGAGGCATCAGCTGCATTGTCAGCAAAGGAGACTGGCTTTACAGACTAGGTCAGCAGTGTAGAGTGTTTGAATGTTGAGTGGCAGAATTCTGTATCAGTTTTCAGTTTTTACGTGAACTTTAACCTCATTTCTGTAGGAGTTGGACCTGCTTATGACCGTGTTGGTACCAGAGACAGCATCATGATCCGTGTCCCAGACCACACCGTGACCTGCCACCTATGTGACATCACTGGACCCCTGGCCATAACATCAGCCAATCCCAGTGGAGAATCAGACAGCACCCACCACAGCATGGTCATTAAGTAAGAGTCTCCTCAAAGAAGTTTAATGCAAACTAACAAACAACACATCTCTAACACTTTTAGCACCATACACTAATTACTGTTTCAAACTGCTTCTTTTGCTGCAGTCGACTGGGACACAAGATCCAAGGAGTACTTTGTGATGGTGACTCGAATGAAGTAGTTGCTTCAACTGTGGTCAACTGCCTGAGGATTGATGAAGGTAAGGGGCCATGATTTCTTCCTACTGGGGCTGTTTAAGGTCAAGTTTCTAACTGAAGCTCTTCTAACCTTCGTTCAGGAGTCATCACCATTGTGAGAGAAGGCTGTGTCCCTGCTATCAAAGTCCAACAGATCTTTGACAGACTGAAGAACTCCATGATTTGAGTGTCTCTTAGCGAAGACTGTCTACCTGGCTGATCATGTTCAAGTCAACTTGTCTAACCCAAGCTGTGCTTTGCTTTTCATACTGACAAACAGCAAAAGAGGGAAAAGAAAACTAAAGATGTGTGTTTATATGGATGTAACTTTTGTGTCTTAGTGGATGCATAGATAGATGGCTAATTCAAAAGTCATCTTAAACTGCATGAACCCCATAATGCTTTGGACTATTTATATATTTATTGTTATATTTATTGTCAATATATATCAACACAAACACTTTGAATATGTAAATAAATAGTTATGCTTTTTAATTTATGATGTTTGAACTCATTGTAAAACAGAATGTCTTTGTGTGGTTTCTGCATTGAAGCGCTCTCATGCATTAATTAATTTTTGCAATAAAAATAACTAAAGTGTATTAAGGCTTGCATCTTTAAATAATTACTAAATGTTTTCTAGATGAATGCATTCTCTCCCTCAATACATCTTTATTCAGATCTTCAGATAAAACAATAACAACAATGGTGTTTAAAAGCTTGACATAAATAGATATATTTTTGAACAACTACTAATTAAGCACTTGAAAGCATCTAGTTATTTGTCAGAGGTCATTAGCAGCTCAAGAACTCTGAAACGATTCAACCATCTACTTTATTATGAGCTATTTAAAGATGGGGATCCCTCGTTTAATCAATATATTTGCAGTGGTCTCTAGTAGTAATGAAGGCCTTGTAAGTCGTACTCTGGGGTAGAGCCCTGCACGGGCCTAAAATCTGAGCCCGTGTCCCGCACGGCCCGAGGGGGTGGAGCCCCAGCCCGACCCGGCCCGAAAAGGTTTTCAGGATTCTCTGGCCCGACCCGAGCCCAAGCCCGACTTTTTTTAACCAACTAAATGAAAACAAAGTGTGTCAATCCTGACCAATGTGTTAAAAGACGTGCAGGATCCGATCAATTTGTTTTTCCCTCGTTTACCGTCACGGAGATAACGGCGCACTGGCTCTGGTGTTAATCAAGTTAAATTTTATCTCTGTCCAACAATTTTTACAAGAAAACAAAACAGTCAAAAGCAGGGCTTGTGTTGACCGGATAGTTCCCGTATTTGATGGTTTATTTTGATGGAGAAAGGACAGAAAGAATTACCCCGACGCATGCAGACGA